GTGATGATTTATGACTGGAGATATTCAGTAAATTGAGCAACTCTTTTCTGGTCCTGATGGGGAAGGGGAATCTAAGCCACTTCAGAGAGGAACTAGATGACTTCAGGGATTCTTCACATCTTTAGAGATGATTTGGTTTCAAGGCTCAGTGTAATCCATTAACCTAGGCCCAGGTGTATTCACCTCTAAGTGAATATTCCCTGTTCAATTTGTAATATAGAAAGAAAGATACTACAGACATTTTTCTAGAAAAGTGAAGTTGGTTATAAATTAAAAATAAATACGTGAGTACACACATTGAACAAATAGTCAAAAGAATAGTACCAAAAATGACAGAAAAATAAAAACTTGTGGTACTAGTGTTTTGAAAGGTTTTAGCTAAAAATATGAAAGAAATGAAATCAATTCTAAGCAATACTGGCAAGAATTGTACTTAATTTTTTCAAGTTATACCATGTAATTAGCTTAATTTGGAGGCAGACATCAATGATCTAACTATAAGCTTAGTTCTTCCCTGCCTATCAAAGACCACATTCAGTTCAACAACTATTTATTGGACCTCTACTATGTGTAATAATAGTAGGGACAACGTACCCTCTACTCAAGGAGCTAACATCTCACCTGCTCCATGTTGTTTTTTTTTTTTTTCCTGAGGTTTTTTTTTTGTTTGTTTTTTAAAAAATATTTTATTTTCTATAATTCTTACATCATTTTTCATTTTTGCACAATGTATGCATTTTCATTTTGGTTATATTCCCCATACAATTGCACCCCCCCCCCTTATTTTGACCCTAATCCTTCCTCTCCCCAGGTCCCCCTCCCCCATAGTGTGTCTCTGGTATATAGTTGCTTGTTGATTTTGATTTTTACTTTGCATTAATTAGTCTTTTTCCTGGTCCCTTATTTAGGTTTTCTAAATTCCTGCTATGAGTGAGACCATCCGGTATTTTTCTTTTTCTTTCTGACTTATTTCGCTGAGCATGATCCCTTCTAGCTCCATTCATGTTGCTGCAAACTGCATGTGTTTATCTTTTTTGATTGCTGAGTAATATTCCATTGTATACGTGCCACATCTTCTTGATCCAGTCATCTATTTTTGGGCATTTCCCCTGCTCCATGTTTTGAGTAATTAGATTGCTACTACCTGGAGACTTACTTTGTACCTTTTACCACTTAAAACACCCTATAAAGTAAGTATCATTTTTATTCACTTACAGATGAGAACTCTAGGATACAGAGAGTATAAAGAGACTGAGTAACCTGTCTATGGTCATATAGCCAGTAAGAAATAAAAACAGGATTTGAACCCAGACAGTCTGGTTTCAGAGTTTACAAGCTTAACTGTTACACTACATGACCTTCCAAGGAAGTGACGATTCTTTCTTTTGCATTCTTCAAAGGAGACTCACTGACCAGGGGCTGAGCATCTATGACAAACAAACCTGATATATACTCACCAGAGCATGCCTTCAGTGCCAATTGGTATTCATCCAATTGGCATTTACAGAAAAACTGAATTTTAGGTACTGCACCAGGTGATTTCACAGGACTTTCTTATTCAATTCTAACAGTTTTGTCAAAAAAGATTGTTTCTCTATTTTAAGCATGAAATACTGAGAGGCAGAAGTTAAATGACCTGCCTGAACTCACACAGTAAGTGAGAAATAATGTGGCGATTTCAACCCAGACCTACTGACTCTATGTTTTCCGTCACCTCCTAAGTGTCATTTTTTAAAGTGAGTAAGTCAGTGGTTTCAGTATATTGACAAAGTTGTGCAGCCATCACCATTATTACAGAATGTTTTCATCACCCCCTTCTCTCAAATAACTTGCACATATTAGTCACTCCACAGTAACACCTCCCTCTAGTTCCTGGCAACCTTACATCTTTCTGTCACTATAAATATCCCCAATTTGGAATTTCTTATACATGAATCATGTAAATGGTTTTGTGACTGTCTTCTTTCATTTAGCATGATGTTTTCAAGGTTCATCCATGTGGTTGACATGTAGCAGTGTCCCTTCTTTTTCAGGCTGAATATTAAGAGCCCACATCATTTTACATTTCCACCAGTTGTAAATAAGGGCTCCAATTTCTCCACCTCCTTTCAAATACTTACTATTTTCTGTTTCTTCAGGCATCCCTGTGTGTGTAAAGTGGTGTCTTGTTGTGGTATCTTGTTATCTTATTACTGCTTTAATTTGCATTTCCCTAGTGACTATGGTGTTGAGCATACCTTCATTTGCATATTGGCTACTGATGTTTTTTTTTGAGAAATGTCTATTCAAATTCTTTGCCGCCCCCCCCCCAATTATTTGCCAGTAAGAACTATTTTGAATTGTTTATTATTGAATTGTAAGAGCTCATTATTTATTCTGGATACTGGAGTCTTATTTGCTATATGATTTACAAGTATTTCCTCCCATTTTGTGGTTTGTCTCTCCCTTGAAGTTCTTTTATTTTGATGTCCAATTTTTTATAGTTGCTTGTGCTATTGGTGTGAACCAAAGAAACCATTGACTACTTCAAAGTCATGAAATTTATATGTAAATATAAATTTATATGTGTGAATTTATATATGTAAATATAAATTTCTTTTAAAATATGGGATTTCAAAGACTCTCTTTTTCCATGAGAGAGATATTTGTAATCACAAAGTTCCCTTTGCAGTTTCAAGAAAGCCTGGACCTCTATTTGGCTCATTTTTACTAAGGGTGGGAACATTATATTAAAAGACTGACTTTTCTCCCAAATGAAGTCATGTAAAGTGCTTATTACAGGGCACTAAAACATTGTGGCTATTATTATTATATTAATCATAATTATTCTAAGAGATTTAAAATAAATTTTCTGAATAAAATAATAAAAAATAATCAGTTTGAAACTCACAATTAAGTAAGAAGTATTCAAAAAAAGCAGCACACTGGCATGTGCCATAGCATGTGCCATAGCTAAAAGTTGAGATTGCCTTATGCTTGCTAGGATTGGCAACCTAGGGAAAGCACTTGCACCTCTAGCCAAGAGTAAAGATCTCTAAAATTTCATAATCTTGCCTCAAAGTCTTTAATTATGTAAATGTATATTCAAGATTTTACAAGCTAGCTCACCTATTTTGAGATTAGTGAATTTTTTGGGGGAAGGATAATGAATTTTGACTTTTGTTTCAGACTAACTTTTCACAGAACTTAGAAGCAGGAATTTCAGGACCACTTACCAGTTAAAGTCCACTATTAATTATTCCACGAAAATCCATGGACAGCCTCCAGTGAGAATTATGGGACTACCACAGAGGTTTGTACAAGCAATGAACTGCTCAACTACAGGAGGCGCCACCTGACTCCAAGTGCTTGTAGACTCATAGGACTATGATTTTCCAGGAGATTAGCAGACACATGTTTTGGAGAGGTGGGCTCCTTTTATAATGTGTGCTAACTGACCAAAAGAATGAGTAATGTAGCAATAAGGGATACTACTAAATCTTTTACCTATTTGCAGACATACCATTGGTAGTGTATCCATTAAGTCTTCATGTTCTAGAGAACCAATTTGGTGTAACTGGTTATTCTGCTGTGTAGTATTCCCCCACTTTGCCAATATGGCAATGATAATAGCCAAATACTTTAATAGTCACATACCAATGGCCTACAGAAGCCCTAATCTTTGTGTTTGAAATAAAATAGCATCAATGGTCATTGTGAATAATTTTACAAGACTAAAATTATTAACTATAAATTAAATATATTAAATATTTAATTATGTTATAATTAAATATAAATATATAACATAAAATATAAAAAAGTAAAGTTACATGTTAAATACAAAATTATTATACTCTTGTAATAATCTTGTAAGAGTTCCTGAGCAGTGCAGGCACTATTCTCCATCTTAAAAGAGATTCAGGTCTCCTCTAGGAGGTATCTCCAGAACTCAGCTTTCCTGGCGTGCTCATGTAGCTTCCAAACATTTTAGGAATGCAAACAAACAAAAATAATACATTTATAAAATGTATAATTTTATCACTATACATTGTGCTCTTGGTACTGCTTTCAGATACAGAAGGACACTGCTCTGGTCTGAATGTTTGCTTAACCCCCAAACTCCATATGTTGAAATCCTAACCACCAAAGATGATGGTGGTAGGAGGTGGGGTCTTTCAGAGGTGCTTACATCATGAGGTTGGAGTGTGAATGAGATTAACGTCTTTATAAAAGAGGCCCTGGAGAGTTGTCAAGTTCCTCTGCATGTGAGGACACAGCAAGAAGCTGCCACCTGAAGAGAGCCCTCACCCGAGCAAGCTGACAGCCTGATCCTGAACCTCCAACCTCTAGAACTGTGAGAAATAAATTTGTGCTGTGTATAAGTCACTCAGATGTGGTATTTTGCAATAGTCACCTTAAACAACACTACTGTTACAACTCAAACGACTAGGTTCAAGTCCCGGTTTTCTGCCTTCTTGCAGAGCTGAAGTAAGTCACACACTCTTCTTGTTCCCTATTTCTTAGCCTAGAAAGGAGTTCTAATAATACCGTGCCAACTCCTTAGGTTGCTGCAAGCGGAAACCTAGTCACGCTGGTGAAGAGCTTTCAAAGCTGTGAAGTCCTCAATGAAGGAAAAATATTTTAGTAGGAATGTGACTTAGCTTTATTTTGAAAGTGGGAGTTTCAAGGATGACTCCTTATCTATGGTTTTACACTTGCTCTGGTTTAGTAGACTTCTATTTATATGGACTTCAAAAATTTAATGTTTTATTAAGCTTTATTATATGGTAATCATTGCTGGCCACTTCCAGTGTGAAATGTAGTAGGTGTAATTCTACACTGACACTCATAGATGGTTTATTAAAATGATAACATTTTTAAAGGCCAGAAAATAAACAAACAATTCTGTTTGACTCATCAGAGATACATCATGGACAGACTGTAGCAATTCTTTACATCTTCTGCAATAATAAAATGAAACACTGCCTAAATTTATTAAAGACACTACTAAGAGGCATGTATTTTGCAGGCAAGAAAACCTTTTATTTTAAACCACAAATAGTCAGCAGGTGGCCACAACTATCCATGTTTCATTAAAATCACATAAAACCTAGGTACAAAAGCACCACAGATTATTGCTCTAGAAAAACTGCGTGAAAAATTCATATATGCACAGTAAAAACACCACAGTATGCACAGGACTAAATTTTTAAAGCAAGTGCATGGAATGCTGAATCCATTTTACACACAGCTTCCAATATTAAATTGTTATTTATTTTACTTGAAGATGATGGAAACTTCCAAAAGCCATGACTATGAGAAGGTAAAATATCCATTCTTATATATTTTTGAATGCCAACTAGTAGAGTCCTAAAAAAATTAGCATTTACAAAATACTTGGTAAAAATAGCTTTTAAAAGTTGTCCCAAGAGGTACATTAAAATCAACCCCAAATTTTCACGATAATTCATTCTCCCTCGTTATCTACAGTTTCAGTTTTCTGTGCCTGTGAAAAAGAAAGGAAAAAAAAATACAGTTATTATTAAAACTACTATAAGCCAAAGAGAAGTCCACCCCACCAACACAAACACTTTTGAACATCTGTTTTTTAGCAGTTCTACTGCCAAATGTATTTCAACTCTGGGTGAAAACAGACAAGGCTGGAATATATTACACAAATGCTTTGCTGCATTTATTGCTTCTACTTTTCAAATGACCACAAAAGCTTTACCTGCAAGTTCCCATTGTTCATAAAAACAAAACAAAACAAAACAAAAAACCAAACTACTATAATCTGATTCTAATCACTGCAAACATGCAGAATTTTCTACTGTACCCTTAACTCTCACTGTTTCAATCTGCCCCTTTACTGACAGTGTGCTGGGTGGGGTACCTCTGGAGGTTGAGACATTAACAGTTGAACGAGAGATGTGGATCTGCAATAACATTACAGGCAATAAAAAGAGACATTATGAACATGCTATCACCGGCTGGAGGACTGAGCAATTTCTTTAAAGACACTGATTCAATCAGTGGGAGGTAGTCATGGGAAGTACCTCGTCAGCTTTAGTTTCACCATTTTCAGATGGTGTAGTACCTTCCTTTCCAGCTTCCTGCTTTTCCTCCTTCTTCCCTTTAGCACCTTTATTAGTCTTTGTTCCAGGTTCTTTCTAGGAAGCAAAGCACAGGGAAGCAATTTGTTAGACCTGGAGTGATGTTAGTTAAAATCAGTCAGCCTTGTTCCACACATGACTTGAAGCAAATTCATGGCCAACTGGTTTTCTGGGGAAAATGGGAACCTTATTTTGCTGAACTTTGACTGAGTTACACTGAATTTCTCTGAAAATGCCACAGGCTGTTTCTAAAGTCCGTTGGACTCTAATGGGAAAACACAATGACCTCCGTCCCCCTCAGGCCTTAGCTGGGTGGGCCTCCTCTCTTGTGAGAGAGATGTGCTTCTGTAGAAAGGAGAGCAGCCACAGCAGGACCTGGTGAAGCAGAAGGACTTGAAGAAAGCAGGGAAGAAACTCATGTGAGAATTTGGGTCTCGAGTGGCTGAAAAATGGAGAAAGCACTTGAAAACGAAGGCCCCATTGAAGAGCACAGAAAAGCCACTGGGTTAAGATTCTTAATAATTCTGTACCTCAGTTTGCTACCTTCAAAACAGGTATTTGTATCTACCTCAGTAAGGTTGATGTCACTAGTAAAGCAATCAGAACAGGCTCTTACATGGTATAAAGGTCATAAAAATGTTTACTGGTATTAATTATATGCTAGTAATTATTCTGTGACAGTCATTAGTCATCAGAGTGGTCTACTAAGACCAGTTATATGAAGGCAGAACCCTCCCTCAACGCCTGAGCTCCTTCTGGGTGCCAAGTGAACTGCATGTCCGGAGGAAGCTACCAGACGCCCCTTGGACATAAGGCTTCTCAGAGCAACTTCCTTTGCTTTATTGACCAAATGGAAAACACATTCCTGGTAAGGCATAAAATGTGCTTTAAGCTTTTCGAGAAAGCTGATAGCAGTGTAGCAGTTTTTGAGTCAGTACATTTAGCCTGAATCATTAAAAAGTGATCTTTCCTTGGATGACTCTTGGATATGGAATTATAATTTATTCACTGTTTAAATAGCCAAGTGGGGGAGGAAGCACCTCTTACCTTAGCAGATGTTTTTCTTGGTTTAGGTTCAGGTTTTGGTAGAGTAGGTTTCTGCAAAGATAAATTATACAAATACTGAAAAAGACAACCTTCAGCACCAAAAGGAACACACAATGACTGAGAAAGACAATAGTCCATTTTGACTATGATTATGTTCAGTTAAAAAATATTTTCAGCAGCAGATAACAGCACAAAGATGTCTGCATTTTGTAACTATTTTCATCCTGGGTTCTCAAATGAACGGCAGGTGAGATTTAAAAGCCGGTTCATTGTTCCCAGGTCCAGAATAGCTCTCCGGGAACAGGTTTAAGCTTCTATCTCCGATGTCTCTGTACTTCCTTTTATCACAGTGCAGCAGCGAGAGGAATGACTCAGTCTCTCAGCCAAATGACTCAATGAATTCAGTGACACTGGTCTTCCCAATAGTCTAAAAATCACAGCAGAATCACAGGCAAAGCCCATTGGGTAAGGAAGACTGCTGCGTGTAAAGTATTTCAAAATCATTTCCAAATCCTTCCACCTCTGATGTAGATTTCAAGTCCTGTAGCCAAGCTTCCTGCCCACTTTCATCTTCTCCAATGCCAGCTCAAGGTGAGAAGAATTTCCAGTCCACCCCAGACCCTGGGCTCATTTGTCCCCAGATCTTTTTATGAGGAACACAATTATAATAATAAAATGTCTGCTGTCAGCCTCCAAAGTTGAACATTTTTCACAGATCTTATTAGCTAAGGAGCCCACTAAGAAACTATTTTTCTCTCGCCTCATGTGGTTCTCCTCTCTGTTCCTGTGAGCAGTGCCTACCTGCCTGGTGGTCACAATCTCCTCCACACAAGGCTTCTGACCTGGCCTGCTTCTCCAGGGGCACGAAACATGGGGAAGATAACCAGTCTAAACCTCTACTTTTAATAGTTATTTTAGGGCAAATATTTTATTGATCTAGGAAAAAATGTATACATCTCCCCTAGCACTAGGGAGAATAACTTTTGAAGAGAAAACTCTCTCCAGGATCTCCCTCTGTGGAGAAAAATACATGTTCCTCCTTAAAGCCTCTACATAGGTCAGGTTCGTGTTGAATCTATTCCTTTTCATCGAGGCCATAAAGTAAGTGTGGACAGTTCAATTCTGAAAGATTGGCTGTTAGAAATGACCTTTCAAATAAAGAAAGAAAATTGAACTTAAAAGAAGAAATGTTTTTACTAATCATACTACTCTCAATCTGCTCCCCTAATATATTAGCTCACAAATCTCCCGAAATTTTAGAATTTAAAAAATTTTGTTATCTGGAGTGCTAGTATATTGTGTTAACACACATTTGTTTTTTTTTCAATTTACCACAAATAATTCCCTGTTAAATTATTTTCTGTAATGCACGCCTTTCCTCCGATTCAGCATTCAAGTGTTTTGATAAGATAGGAAAGGGTGAGGTTTCACAGTCTAATCCTGCTGGTATCTGAGGTGGCTCTTTGTCAGCACCATGGGCGAGGGTCTCAATGGAAGATGCTTATATTGCTGGTTCCTGGTACTCAGAAAAAGGATTATTTTAAATATTGCTTTTTATTTGACTCTATTTGGGCTACAGATCCATGGAATACAAGGACATTCAGTATAATCTATAGTTAAACTTAAAAAGAGTTGAAACATAACTCCTGACGCATGGTGAAAGTTATTATTAAACAGGCACACAATCTTTAAGAGGTCTCCACAGAATCTGGCTGAGCTGGGTACACACAGAACTGCATGTCCCAGGCCTTAATCTTCCTGGTGACTCTGATTTTGTTTCCTTTGGTTGTGACTCATGAAAAACACTGGCTCACCCAATGCAAATTTGGTTATACTTCTGAACCTGAGGGTGGTCCCACTTGAGTTTTGCTTCCCTACATTGTTGCAGGCACAGGTGCTGCTTGAGGATGAAACCTATACACTTCCCTGAAGACCAAAGTAGTTTGTAGCTCCTGTTATCTAGCATGGGGATAGATGCTTCAAGCCAAGAGGTCAGTGCCTTCCCCTCTACATCTCAGTGGGCTGTGTAGGCTGCAGGTATTTTAACCCAAAAGATAGACCAGAGAGCCTGGTTGATCTGTCTTGGTAGGATGAAGACTGGTACATGAGCAGGGCAGCAGGGAGGAGACTCTGATGGGCAAAATAGAATCATTATTTTTGCAAAGATTCTCAAGTTCCAAAATGAGACTAAGGTTTTGGATTCAGACAACTTGCAGAGCATTCTGACTAAATTATGCATCATGGAGAAAGATTCAGAATGCTTGTCCAATCAAGCACATCATATATAGAATTGGAAGACTGCTCTAAGTACTTCTCTTGTTTCAGAGATCTAGTAATAATCAAACAACACCCTGGGTGTTACACGTTTGGCAATGAGGCTGGTCATTGTTTTTCATGGACACATCTTTTTTTTTTTTAAAGATTTATTTATTCATGCATACAAGAACCGGGGTACAGAACAGATGCACGGTAGGGTGAGAGGATTCACCAGAGACAGAGAGGGAACAGAACAGGCAGACTGACGAAATACACTGCTGAGGAGAGCAGCAGGTGAGACAGGAGAGGTCTGCCGCGCCGTGTGGGATTCTCGCCCTCCGGCCGGGATCAAACCAAAGCTGCAGAGGCTGTGGACAACTTCACAGCGCTGTGCTCAACAGCCTGTGCCACCAGGGGAGGTCCTCACGGACACATCTTATCAAGGACTTGCTTGGCCCATCTGGTCAAATTTGCTAAAAATCATGATGCAGGTAATCTCCGAAAAGAAAATTAAAAAATATTCAATGAAAACACCTCCTTAATTAATCTTCCTTTTGCTGCTTTTATCTGGACAGAGGAAACATGTACTCATGAGAACTGACACCAAAAGGGTTCTAAAGTACTCACCGCTGACAATCTGGCAGACCTTCTGGTGGGCTACAAAGGAAAGAAAAAAAATATTTTGGTGGTTATACACAACCAAGTTGATTTTTTAAAATTTCATTTCTAAAATCTTTATTGAGAGAATATAATGTATGACTAAGTACTGTCTCCATGTGAGCACAGTAAAACACACACCATGTGCCCTGAGCACCTTCATGCTCAAGAGGAAATGTTTCCAAAGAGATGTATGCACACCATTCAAAGATATGGCCTTTCCCAATGAAGGGTGTGGTTGGTAAGAAAAGGAATGGAAGATGAATTTAGGATCCAACAAAAACCACAATCCACCTTTGTGATAAAATAGCAGGCGCACTGAGATGCCATTGAAAAACTAGTTTCAGTCTGATTCTTGTATCTTACAAATGGAACTGAAGCTTGTAAGTTAATACAAAAAAGAAAATTATATAATTGTGTAGAAATCAAAATTAGAAGGTGTTCCTTGCCTTGTTATAATGCTAGAAAAGAGAATGACTACAAATCATAGGCAGTTCACAAGACTTCCTTTCACTTGAAGCAATATAAACTCATTAATTTATCTACTAAATGAATATGTTTAAAGATTTAAATAGAGTAAAAAGTTCACTCATGTTTTAATTTGAAAACTAGAAAATTTAGAGGGGAACTGTGTTGAGACTGACATTTTTTAGGAAATCTTTCTTCTTCAGGGATGGTACAAGTTAACAGCACACGGGACTGCGGAGAAAATTAAAAATCACATAATTGTTCTAGGCATTTCAGAAATAATTACACAGAATTGATAGTCTACATATCAGCAGCAAAAGATGGTTCCCAAGGGGTTTCACATTTTAAAAGTACAACTGCCTTTCTTTAAAAGTGTTTCAGAAGTAAATACTCCAAATTTTTGTTTGTTTTATTCACTGCTCTATCTCTAGTAAAAAAGTGTGTAATCTAACATAGTGGATACTCAATATTTGCCGAATAAATGAACTTATATTATACCCTAATTCTTGCTGTCTTAAGCAGACTTTGCCTCATGACAATAGCTTAAATGTTTCTAAAAGTTTTTAAGGGGGTCAGCAAAAATGATCAGTCAGTAGGAGTCTGGGCTTTCACTGCAAGGAATCACGGAATTCTTGAAGCCCTGCTTAGGTCAGTTTAGGTCAGCAGGTCAGGACAATCTGGAAGAAATATTTCTTGCCATCTCTACATCGAAGAACTTTCTCGCTGAAAAGAGCCAGGGTAAGCTAAACTCCTCTTTCTTGAAAGGACAGAAGGAAAGGGCCAGAGCCTCCATGAATAAATTTAGCCCTGGGAGGAATGATCAGAACAGGACTAAAGGCAATGAAGAGAAGACAGCGAGAGCCGGGAACAGGGCTGTGGCACGTTCTCTCCTCGCATGCAGAGGGGGAGTTGGGCCTATTTAGACACGCCACAGGAAACACCATGGCCTCTGCTCCAATGATCACGGTGCCTTCAATGACAATGTGTCTGCAATCACTGGGAACCAGAACTCAAACCCCAAGAAGCCTTTCTCAAAATGCTTAATTTCACAAATTGGGCATTGCTGAAGAAAAGGCAACATTATCTTTTAAACCTGGCAGCAAGTGGATAATTGTGCTTCTTCAAATGCTTTTGGAGCATGGAGGAAATAATGGAGCATCCTCCAATGACACACAAGAGCTCAGTTCTGAAGATTTTTTGTGGCCTCAAGAACGACCATCTCACAAGTAAAGTGCAGCTGGCATAGGCGTGCTCAGAATGATACTCTTCCACAGGAAAATGGCGGCCTCTGTGCAAAAGAGGGGCCAAGGGAACTTACCTGAATTCCTCTGCACTTGGTGTCAACATGTGCCTGGCTGGTCTCACCTCGCTGTTCACCTTGCCTGTCTCCTGTCTGCAACCCCACTACACAGGAACATCTTAACATTTCTGTAGCTCCAATGCTAAATAGGGCCCACAAAAAATGTTGAGGTGGATGGAATGGGGTAAGTTCTAGAAATGTACAGCAAGTATGAACTTGGGGTGTGGGATGTAAAGCCACTACTCCGTTACTATCCAGCTTGGGGACTGGAAAGGAGCCAAATATTTTAACCATTACTCATAATTGCCTCCCTCTAAACACCAATTAGATGTCCCGAGTAAAAATGAAGTGAGGCAACATCATGTGAAAAATGCCCCAACTCCTATGCTTTTGTTCCTCTCCTCTCCATGTGAATACCCGAACATATTAAAGAGGCAGAGTGACGTCACAGAGCCCTGTGGGATTTCCAGAGAGACATTTCAAACAAAGCACTGCTCTGCAGGGCCTGAAAACTGTTCTGATCCAAAGACTCACTACCTTTTTAGAATTCAGGTCTAGTACAAGAGTTTCAAATAAAAAGCCTAGGAAATTAATGCAAAAACAATTTTCCTCTCCAGGCTGTTTAGACTAACCAGTCTCTTAAAAGCACATGTTTTACTGTAAAATCATTTTATGACTTCCTGCCTAAAATTTACCAGCTCTTCTTCACATGCCATAAAAAAGGGCTTTTCCTAAATTTTCTTTTCCAGTAACCATCATAAGAGATTTTCTTTGTTACTGCAAATAGTGGAGGCTGAGATGAACCTTTCACTCAGTCAGCAGTACTGGTTACGCATGCAAGTGTGTACACCTTCCTGGAAAGTTCCATCAGCTTTCAGAGCCTTAAAATCTATAAATGCCTGGACTATATTTATTGGAGCTAAAATAGACTACACTGCTCCCTCCTCCCCTCCTTAAGACATTCAAAAGTGAAATATTCATTTGAGAATCAGATTGTTTGGCAGGAGTACAGTGAAAAAATTAAAGGCATTAAGATTTTTCTTGATTTGTCGGGTATGAACTCTCAGGAAAAGTGGTTGAAAGAGTATCTCAGGGAAGAAAGGAAGGCTTTTAGAGGAGAGGTAGAGAAGCAATGTGAGGGTCTGTCACTGTTCTGTACAGGTGCTGGGCACAATGGAATTTACTCTGCAAGCATTTACAGATTAACTGATATTTATTGAGATGGAGAAAATTCTGGTGAAGGCTACTCTGAGATGTGAATCTTTTACTTTATTCTGGATGCAAAAGCAACATGGAAATTTTTCTATTTATCTTTTAAAGATTTATTTATTCATGCATAGTAGAACTGGGGTACAGGCCAGAGGTGCAGGGTGTGAGAGGATTTACCGGAGACAGAGTAGGGAAAAGAACAGGCAGACTGACTGAAATACACTGCTGAGGGGAGTAGCGGACAAGACAGGAGAGGTCTGCTGCGCCATGTGGGTAGCTCCCTGGCCGGTTGGGGATCGAACTTGTGCTGCAGAGGCTGCGGATAGCTTCACAATGCTGTGCTTAACCCCTTGTGCCACCAGGGAGGCCCAACATGGAAATTTAATCCCACTATAATAAAGTTCTCAGGAGTAGCTAGATTCAAGTAGAACCATTGTATATTGCCAAATGTTTGAAATAGGGGCCATTCCACTGGAAATTGGAGGTATATTTATTTTTGTGAGATAACTCAGTGCTCGGAGCCTGCTCATGTATGCCTCCAATCAAAGCCCAAAAGTCAAACTGCTTTTAATTTCCAAAAACAAATGAGGAACTAAATAGAAATTACCATCTTTGCAAAACTGTTAAGTGGGAAAAGATGTACATCAGAGCCTTGCATGGGGAATGAAGACAGAGAAAAAGTGCTGAGTAAACAGATTTTTATGATTACCACAAAAGGAACATGAAGACAGAAGATTCTGAATCAGAAGATTTAGATTTCTTTCCTGCTTCTGTAATTTGCAAGTTGTGACACCTGGGGAAAATCATGTATTTCTCTGAGACCTTGTTTGATCTAGTAAAAATGGGAATAATTATAATATCTTCCTGTTTCAAAATAGCACTGTTCTGACATCCACTTATCTCCTTTCTGTGCTTTATTTTTCTTTGTAGCAAATATCCAATTATTTTATTTTAATCTCTCTCAGTCTCTGCTAAATGGGAGCTCTGTGAAGGCATGGATTTTTACCTTTTTGATTCTCTGCGGAATGTGTGGGCCTAAGACAGAGCTTAGTGAATTACAGGCACTCGTGACATTACTGTTGAGGAGTGAATCTGTTCTTCCTTAATTTTAGGGATATGGAAAGTTATGGACGTGAAAGGACTTTGTAAGCTGCAAGTGTAATGATCATAATGCAATATTTGTTATTTATTGCCCAAGTATTATACTCTGGGCCTTGCCCTTCAAATATGGCAATGGAAGATTTTCAAAACAGAATCCCACTGTAGTTTCAAGGCTGTGCATACTCAATGACATACTAGAAAGTTCAGTCAATTCAGTGGGGAAAAAAAAAATCAATACACTGTCTGACAGTTTTTACTCTAAATCAACAGCTAATTGACTGAACTTTTCAATTTTCAAACAATTGTGTTGATGTCCTGAAGATAAAGCATATGTTTTAATCTGGTCTTGGCATAAGTGACAGGCAAAGTGTCTTGTCTAGGAAAGGTACTTTTTTTGGTCAGCAATTATACATATATTATAAAATATTTAAAATTAAAAATATAAAACTAGGGCCTCCCCTGGTGGCGCAGCGGTTGAGCGCTGGGCTGCGAGGTTGCCCGCAGCCTCTGCAGTGCCAGTTCGTTCCCAGGCCGCCAGGTCCCACAAAATAAACAAACAAACAAATAAAAATATATATAAAACTAAAAATTCTGGGCTAAAATAAATTAACAAATAACAGTTTTATGCAAAAACATTTTACATATATTTTAACCAGTTTGATTGCTTTTAGTATAGGACTGTAAAGGACTGTTTTCACAATTCAAGATCTACCTTGCAATGGTTTCTAAGTTTTTTGACTGAGAGATCAATATAAGACCCTAAAGAAAAACCTAAATATGGTGAAATTTAAAAACATTAAGGTTTGTTATACTTAGTCAACTGATTTACAAAGTAGAATTTGCCATTTTTAAGAAAATTCAAGTGTTTACCCTTTTTTTGGTTGGTTCCACTATTTGGTTAGTGATTTGACTTTGGACGACAAATTGCTAGACACTGATGCTGAGTAAATGAGTGTTGAGAACTTGGTTACAAGCATTTTTGCTTGTTTTGCTTTTTAAATTATTTTTTTAATAGAGTCTGTTAAAGATGCTCCATTTGGGAGAATGAATTTCCTTGTACAAAGCTGGTGTAGGGGTTTTGCTATCATGATAAATTCATCTGCAATATTAACCACAGCATGAATCACCCTATCAAAGAATCTTTAATTAAATATTGTTTTTGTATCTCATGAACACTTTTAATTTATGAGTTCAAGGGTAAGAGCTTCAGTTTTTTTTCACTCACTCTAAAGCTCAGTGCAAAAATGAATGGTTGTCATCACAATTACCAACTCATTTCTACTTTTGGTCTCCTTTTAAAAATTCATATTACCACAAGGGATCACATGCAAACATCTCTTCCAAGTTCCTAGTTTTTTGGAGATTTGTATTTTCATACAGAGCTTCTTTGAATTATTGTCTAATTGATTATTTCCAATCTTATGAATTTTCCTGATAAAATTTTTTTTCATATTTTGACATTTTGTATATCCTTCTATACTTTCTGACTTTAGAGATGACGCCTTTTAGGAGCATTCAGAGAATAAAAAAGTAATTTATAATTTATTCACTGAAGCAGAGAATTTATTAAATCATTGGTCTTTAATTTCTTGGCTGTGAAAGGCAGGTTTTGTTCTACTTGATGAGTTTATCTATTACTAGCTTACTCTTTACCCAGGAGAAATTCTCAGTATCCACTTTAATAGAAAGCAGGACCAACAGATAGAAACATAAACATAGTAAGTGAAAATGCCTCATCAGTGTACTCCACTGAAATACACCTTGGCCAACCAAGACCACACAGTGAAACTTTTATCTCTGGTTTTTATAACCCCAACAACCTTGTTTAGACTAGTATTCATTCATATGCCGTCACAACAATATTAACAATTCCAGTTAAAATAAACTCAGGACATCAAAGGTGTACTTACCTCCTGTTTAGTTACTTTGGATCCATCTTTGCCCTCTGCATTCTCTGGAGACTAGAGAGAAAGTAAAAAACAGTATATTGTATTTAAACTAGAAAACACATTACAAGGAGATTTTAAAAAAAAGTTATTTCATTTCTATGGACCATAAAAGTGAACACTCAACCCACTGTGTGGGCTATATTTTGAGGAAAAGTTACTGAGTATGATCTTCACACACACACACACACACACACACACACAAACACACACACACAGCATTTATCTGCATAACTGCCCCAGTTATGTTTTTTTTTAATTTTATTTATTTATATAAACACTGGGTACAGTCAGAAGCGTGGGAGGGTGAGAGAATTCACCAGAGCCAGAGGGGGAGCAGAGCAGGCAGAAGGACCGAAGCACACTGCTGAGGGGAGCAGCGGGTGGCAGGAGAGGTCTGCGCCCCATGAGGGACCCTCCTCCGGTGGCCGGGGAGCAGCCGGGGATCGAACCGGCGCTGCAGAGGCTGCGGGCAGCTATGCAACCCAGCGCTCAACCGCTGCGCCACCGGGGAGGCCCTGCCCCAGTTTTAAAACAGATGCAAAAACTGAAATTAAACTCTGTTCACAATGTACATTTAACCTAAGCAATTATCACTGATTTTAGCTAATTCCACCACTGGTTAAAGAACAGGGACCCAGCAGCATAGCTCAGTTACTGTTTCAGTTAAGGCGAGGGCAGATGCTGAGAAAGTCCAAGCCAGGCACAAAAGAGCATTTTCATCCCATCCTCGCCCAGCTTTGATTTCCAGCCCACTTCCTGCTCTGGCTTGACAAATTCATCATGGATTACTATTTTTTCATTATCAACTCCAGCATCCCTACCCTGCTCCCTGCCTCACAGGATGGCCAAGCACCCTGCCACCCCAGTTGATTTATTTTCTGATTTTGATACATCTCCTGAGGCAGCACCTGCCCCTTCTTGTAGAGCTCAAACCTGACCCCTTTACAGGCTGCATATAGCTGTGAGGAAAATATATTTAGATTTATGCTACACACCATATGTCCCAATATATGTTTATTTGCTAAAGACTTAAAAAATAAGATTAAAAAATTACTTAGAAAAGGAAACTAATACTTTTTTAAACTATAAAAATCTGGGACGTGAATATCTAATCTTTATAATACAAATGGTCAGAACATATGACTAGAAATCCTATAAGAAAAAATACAAATATTAAACCAACAGGTAACATAATGGTTGGCTTAGCAAAATTAAGCAGCTATGTGTTAATGCCTCATATGACAAAATAAAAAATGTAAAAGATCATAAAATCCACACTTTGGTGGGCTGATAACTTAATACAGTATTTTGAAAGAACCACCTGGCAATATGCAAGAAACATGAGAATATCCATATTCATTCCAATTTTGGAACTAGGACTCAAAGAAAGAAACTCTTTGTAAAAATAAAGTTTTATTTGTACTATTTCCAATGTGGAATAACAACACAATTCAAATGATCAGTAAATTATAGAGATATTTTACCTCAATTTAAAGAAAAATGTTTATGTAACTATTAAGGCAAAGGGATTTTAAAAGCAAAGGGATTTTAAAAAGCTTGGTTATAGGAATATATGGAAATCCAAATCAAGTAATTGAAACTTTGATTATAAAATAATACTTTAAACATAGGTCGTCAGGATATAAAGCTTTGGGGAAGACGAAAGCTTTTCTTGAAGACAAAGATACAGTAAACCTCTTCTCCCCTGAGTCCACCTGTTACCCACAGCCTAATCAGTTCACCTCTCTTCAGAATCTCTGTTTTATGGTGTTCTTTCCATTATGGTTCCCTACTCCATGGAATTCTCTATCTTAAAGGGAAAAGTTTCTCTTTCTTGTTCCCATTTCCTACATAGGAATGTCTGGTTCACGAATTATTGTCAGTCAGCTAAGTTGGAGACACAAATCTTAGAAAGTCTAAGCATAGGAAGATAATGCTTAGGTGGACCACTTGGCTTTGCTCACATCCACAAGCTCCATAGTTCTGGTGATCCTCTGCTATCAAGGAGTGCTGGGCCTTCATTCATACCTGTAAGGTCACCTGGTAAGATTTCAGTGGACATACTCACTACCTTAACTGATAGGCACTGAAGAAGAAGCACATAGCTATTGCTGATGCCAATGACATTTTAAAAAATTACAAAGCAATGTTAATGACATTCTCTTCGTGAATAATTTTTTATTGAATTAATGTTGCATTATAGCACCATATAAGTTTCAGGTAATGACATTATGTTCAATATTATTCTATGTCACGGACTAGTGACAGACAATGTGAGGGAGAGATCACTCTCTAAACACTGACCTAATGATGCTTGTATTGAATATAAATTATTGGAACAGAGGAACTTGGAAAGACACTACATAAAAAAAGCAGGTAGAACTGGAAATGCTAATGCTTTCAGTTGATTGAACATAAGAGACTCTGGATATGAAGAGCTAAAATTCTAGGCAAAGCTGACTTTCAAGCAATCTCTCCACAAGGGCTTTCTATTAATAAGCATGTGACAAATTTACAGTCAGGAACAGCCTGACCCATCTTTATTCTGGGAGCAGTTTGGTACGGTAGCATGAATGTAAGTCTGGACACCAGCCTGAATCTTAGCTCTAGAGAGACGTGTGCTATGGGGCAGTGACTTGATCACAATGGCAAAATCTCTTCATCCATGAATGATAGATGATAATGACATCTAACTCAAAGGGTCAAACCAGATTTTGGAGAGAGCATTTCAGATGTCAGGGAGAGCATATGAATTGTTGCACAGAGGCTATGCAACGAGAGATCTATTAATGAGTTTTGAATTATCAAATACAAAATTGTATTCAACAGAATTTAAATGTTGAGCACATTCCTTTACATTGAGTTTTCCTGTAAACTGGTCACTTGTTTTTATTGCAGAGTGACACGTGTACTATTTTGGAAAGACCTCCCATTATGGGATGTCTTATCACATAGTCTGTGCATCATTAGCACATAATCATGAGGCTGGAGAGAGCAAGGAGGGCATGGTATGAAGGGCGTATGAGAAGTCCCAATATTTCTGTCCTAAGGGATGTGAGGAGTAAAAATAAAGAAAATAGGGCCTCCCCGGTGGCGCAGCAATTGAGCGCTGGGTTGCTAAGCTGCCCGCAGCCTCTGCGGTGCCGGTTCAATCCCCGGCCGCTCCAGCTACGGAAGGAGGGTCCCACATGGAGTGCAGCCCTCTCCTGCCCCCCACTGCTCCTCTCAGCAGTGTACTTGGTCCTTCTGCCTGCTCTGCTCCCTGCTCTGGCTCTGGTGAATTCTCTCACCCTCCCGCGCTTCTGATTGTACCCAGTGCTTGTATAAATAAATAAATAAAAATAAATCTTTAAAAAAAAATAAAGAAAGAAAAATAAAGAAAATATAGGGAAAGAGAGTTGGGAACACACATACATGATTTCAGATGTACTTCAATCTCCCAGTGGGCTAATGGGAAGGATAAGGTAAGATGGGATGCAGGAAATTCCAAGACAGAGGGGTTTTTGTCCCCAAGGCAGGGCAGGTGTCCACTAATCCAGTGTGAACTCAGATGGTCAAGAGGGTAAAGAATAATAATCAAACAAAAAGGTCTCATTCACACAGCTGAGGCTCTGTCAGCACCAAATAGCAAGGGAACTGAGTTAAAGGCCCACAGAGAAATGGGGGTAATAAATATGCAAGGTGACTAGGTGGAGGGCACAGTGAGCATTCTGCAGCACCATTGAGAGCTAATTTGAGGGTCAGTCAACAGGCAGGTGGATCACTGAACACCTAGTGACCTGATGGAGACAGAGAATAGACTAAGAGTCTGAATTTTGGGGGAAAAATCAACAGGTATTTGACATTTTTAAAATTTAAATTCTAAAAGCAAAAGTAAGCTCACTGAAATTAAAAAAAAAACTCAAAACATAAATTCTAGACCATGGACAGTAGAAGAAATGATGAATTGTCACAGACATACGGGAAATTAGCCCAGAATGCAACAAAGAGTGTTAAAGAGATGAATAATATGAAAGAGAGGTTAGGAGACATGGTGGTTAACTGAGCCACTCTACGTATATCTAACATATATTTCAGAAGCAGAGAGCAGAGGTACCAGTAGGAAGGTAAAGACATAATGGTTGAGAAATTCCCCAAAATGAAGACCCGAGTCTTCAGACTGAAAGTTCACACTAAGGAACAAACTGGAGACAAAATAAAGCAAATATATATAGTAAGAAATACTGTAATAAAACTGCAGAACAGCAAGGAAATGAGGAAAATCTTAAAAGTTACCAGAATTAAAAGACAGGTTATCTACAAAGTAGTACTTACCATAGCCACAAATGTAAGAAATTATGGAATAACGTTAAAGGAGTTGAGGAAAACTATCTATCTCGAATCCCGTACCCAGTTTTTATTTAAGAGGAAGGCAAAAATAAAGGCATTTCAGAATGCAAATACTAAGAGAGCTTACCACCAACAGTCTTTCTTTAACAAGGACCTACTCTAAAGGATCAAACTCAGCAATAAGAGAAATGAATTGGTTGAGCGCCGGGCTGGGAAGCTGCCCGCAGCCTCTGCAGCACCGGTTCAATCCCAGGCCACCAGCGAGGGTACCACATGGTGCACAGACCCTTCCTGCCACACCCCACTGCTCCCCTCAGCAGTGTACTTCGTCAGTCTGCCTGTTCTGTTCCCTGCTCTGGCTCTGGTGAATTCTCTCAACCACCCACGCTTCTGACTGTACCGAGTGCTTGTATGAATAAATAAATAAATCTTAAAAATATATATAGGAAAATCTAATTTAATTATTATCTGTAGATAGTATCTATTTTTTTGTGTTTAAAAGTTTCAACAGAGGGCCTCCCTGGTGGCGCAAGGAGTTAAGATGCAACCTATGAATCAATCAGCATCCACTGCAGCACGAGTTCGATCCCCAGCCAGGGAAATACCCACATGGCACAGCAGACCTCTCCTGTCTTGCCCACTGCTCCCCTCAGCAGTGTATTTCAGTCAATCCGTCTGTCCCT